GATGTCAGGGTGTTGACCTATTTTTATTGATTTTGAGGGGGGTTCTCTGTGCCTCCTGGATTTTGATGCCTGTTTCCTTCCCCAAATTAGGGAAGTTCTCTGCTATAATTTGCTCCAATATACCTTCCTCCCCCCTCTCTCTTTCTTCTTCTTCTGGGATCACAGTTATTCTAATATTGTTTTGTCTTACAGTATCACTTATCTCTCAAATTCTACCCTCATGATCCAGTAGTTGTTTATCTCTCTTTTTATCAGTTTCTTTATTTTCCATCATTTGGTCTTCTATATCACTAATTCTCTCTTCTGCCTCATTTATCCTAGCAGTTAGAGCCTCCATTTTTTATTGCACCTCATTAATAGCCTTTTTGATTTCAACTTGGTTAGATTTTAGTTCTTTTATTTCTCCAGAAAGGGTTTCTCTAGTATCTTCCATGCTTTTTTCAAGCCCATCTTTAAAATCGTCATTCTGAACTCTAGTTCCAACATCTTACTAATGTCTGTATTGATTGGGTCTCTGGTAGTTGGTACTGCCTCTCGTTCCTTTTTTTTTTTTAAGATTTTATTTATTTTTCTGACAGAGAGAGACACAGTGAGAGAGGGAACACAAACAGGGGGAGTGGGAGAGGGAGAAGCAGGCTTCCCCTTGAGCAGGGAGCCCAATGTGGGGCTCGATCCCAGGACCCTGGGATCATGACCTGAGCTGAAGGCAGACACTTAAGGACTGAGGCACCCAGGCGCCCCTCTTGTTCTTTTTTTTGAGGTGATTTTTTCTGTCTTGTCATTTTGTCCAGAGGACAATAGATGAATGAGAGAACAAAATACTAACAGGGTAACAATGACCCCAGAAAAATATACACTAAACAAATCAGAAGAGACCTGAAACTGGGGGAAAAGAAAGGGAAAGAAATAAAAAAGAAAAAAAAAATTAAAAAAATAAAAAGAATATGATCAAACATGATCAGGCTGGTGCCTAGATCAGTTCCACACACTAGACTTTGGGCGTATTTTGGTCTGTTAGAAGTGCCTTCCCAAATTTTAAAGAAAGAAAATCTTATATATGTACAAAAATAAGGGCAAGTACAATGAAGGGATGGAATATGACTGTAAAGATGAAAATTATAGAAGATTTTATAAAAGGAATTGATAAGAACTTGGTTGAGGGACCCCTGGGTGGCTCAGTCGGTTAAACGTCTGCCTTCAGCTCAGGTCATGATCCCAGGGTCCTGGGATGGAGTCCCACATCGGGCTCCCTGCTCAGCGGGAGGCCTGCTTCTCCCTCTGCCTGCCGCTCCCCCGCTTGTGCTCTCACACTCTCTCTCTCTCTCTCTGGCAAATAAATAAATACAATCTTAAAAAAAAAAAAAGTTGGTTGAAAAGAAAGAAGAGGAATTAAAAAAAAAAAGGGGAGAGAATGTGATCAGGAAGGAGAGTAGAACAAAGCCATACACTAGAGATTTAGGGTATATTTTGGTCTGTTAGAAGAAACTGTATCCCAAAATTTTAAAGAGAGAACAACTTATATATTTATACGAGAAATAAGGTTAAGTACTACGAAGGGATAGAATATGACTCTAAAAGTGAAAAATAAAAAAGATTTTTAAAAAAGGGATTGATAAGATGTTGGTTGAGAAAGGGAAAAAGAAAAATTCAAAAAAAGAAAAAGTTAAAAAAAAATTAACTTTGAAAAACTAAAGAATCATGGGGGAAAAGCCATGAATTCTATGTGCAGTATTCCCCTAGCGCTGGAGTTCTGCTGTTCTCATTGGTCGGTAAACTTGGTCTTGGCTGGCTGTTCTTGCTGATCTTCTGGGGGAGGGGCCTATTGCTGTGGTTTCCAAATGTCTTTGCTGGAGGTGGAATTGCCCCACCCTTGCTGGGTCTGGGCTAAGTAATCTGCTCCGATTTGCTCTTGAGAGCTTTTGTTCCCTGCAAGCTTTCTGTACAGCTTTGGAGGCCGAGAGTGAAATGGTGGCCTCCCAATCTCCACCCTGGAGGAGCCAAGAACTCGGGGCTCCACTCCTCAGTGCGCCCCCAGAAAAACCAGTCAGTCACTCCCGTCTCCCCGGTCTCCGGCCACACTCCGCGCTCACCCAGCCTGTGACGGATCGTTTCTGTCTCTGGCACCCGACCCTGTGTGGAGTCTCCAAACCCAGCAGATCCTTGTGGTGCGCTCCACGCCACTCCTCCTGGGGGAGGAAGGGGAGTGTCCCCGGATCTGGCACTTGTTGTGTCCCTGCTGGAGGAACAGTGGCCCAACTGTGCCGCGGATCAGTTTATGGCAACCCCGAGCTGAGAGCCCACTCCTGGGCTCCGTCTCTGCAGCCGGCTTCCCCGCTCCGATACCGAGTCTGCCGCACTCAGGCACCCCCAGTCTTTCTGTGACCCCGAGGGTCCTGAGACCACACTGTCCCAAAGAGGGTTCCACCCCCTGCTTAGCCACTGGAGCGACGTCCCTCAGCGGAGCCGACTTCTAAAAGTTCCGATTTTGTGCTCTGCTGCTCTATCACTTGCCACAAGCAGCCGACGGAGGCCCCCTCCCCCGTCGTCTGTCTTCCCGAATGTCGCCTTGGGTTTACTTCTCTGCACGTCCTACCTTCCAGAAAGTGGTCGCTTTTCTGTTCAGAGAGTTGTTGCTATTCTTTTCTCAATCTCCTGTTGAGTTCGTAGGTGTTCAGAATGGTTTGATCCCTATCTAGCTGAATTCCTGGGACCAGATGAAATTTAGATCTCCTACTCCCCCGCCATCTTGCCCCTCCCCCCTCAGAAAAATACTGAATTTTTTTTAATGTAGATTGAATTGCCCTTGTCCCACTCTGGTCCTATAACTGGAAGGAGCTTGTAACACTAGAACGTCTTGAGGAGGAACATTGGACATGCCCCTTTATTAGCAGAAATAGTATCGGCCCTGTAGGAGTGGGGGCAGTAAATGGTTGGGAAGGGGGTTTGGATCTGGCTACAGTGGGGAAAAAAACTGGTAGTATAACTGGAAAGATGATAATAACTATACAAGTCTAGATATTTCAATTTGAAGATGAGAAGAGAGAGTATCAATCAAAAATAATACTGAAGTCCCATATTAAGATTTAAAACATTGAATGGGCTCTAAAGTATGGAGATGACTGTCAGTAAAAATATGCCCAGGGGATCTCTGGAGAAAGTGAGAATCAAGACAAAAGAAGAGAAAAAAAATGTCCTTAAGCTGAAAAATTTAAAGCCTCACTAGGTGATTTTAGGATGCCAAAAGGACTATTCACCAAGGATACAACCTGTTAACTTAATATTTAATGGAATAAGCTGGGCTTTTCTTAGAAAAAAAAGCATCTAAGAAAATTTCAATTGTTGTTCACTGTAAAATAGTCTTTAACTGCAGACAGGATTATAGACTTGGGAGTGAAAAGTAAAAAGCAAGGTGAGAAACATAAGGATCAGAAGTATTGCATGAGAGCAGGAGTCAGGTGAATTGGTTTGTCCAAACTGTTGAATGAAAAAGGAGAACATTTCAAAGCAGGCTTGTGAAATGGCCAGTTGGGATAATGCCCAATGGATGGTCAGAGCATGGATGCATCGCAGAGAAAGAGTAAGAAATGGGGAAGACTTAAGAGCAATTTACCATTGTAAATGGCATAACTTTTAGTACAGTTAACCCTAGAGCCAGATTATAGTAATATTGAAAAAATCTATTTTTTTAATGTATTAGAGATCTTCAAAAAGGTCTATCAGCAAAGTGTTACAACATTTAAATCTAATATTCTATATTCTGTATGGCTACCAATGGAAATATTCACAAATATTATGCATAAATAAATGATACCATCAATAAATGCTTGATAATGATACTTGTATATGTATTTTTCAAGGAGTGAATGACAAAGCAGGCATATTAAAGGCTGAACAACTAGATTTCTTTGAAGTTCAATCCTTTGAAAAATGCTGGTAGAAATAAGCAGTTCTGGTTCAAAGGAACATATGCTCTGGTATTTTTAAGTAACATTTTAACTGGAAAACAGAACGGTTGTTTGAAAAACACAGTTGGGCACAATGATGGAGGTGGGTGGATAGTATCTATTCAAACAAACATTTGAACATTTTAGACCTTTTTTGAAAGAGTTTAGGGTAGTTAGATTTGGCATATAAGTATCATTCTGATTTTCACCTTGGCTTCTCCAAACAGAATTGACAATATAGCAGCCTTGCAGTTTAGAAGAAATCCACCAGAAGAAATCTGTCAGCTACTTCTCTAGGAATAATTACATAAGTAATAAAATGAATAAAGTCAACTTTTCTTATGACTGTATCGTTACTGACCCTGGTATATGACTTTGCTTTCGTTACTCTTTGTGAAGTACATGCAAGCTCTTGTTGTTAAAAAAAAAAAAAATGCTAATCTTGAATTTTATGATTTTTGTGTAAATTTGCAAGCTTTATCTCTCCCTAGATAAGTTAATACAATACAAATACATTTTTCACCAGGCTGATTTCTAGGCCGGTAGGTCTGTAGTTTATCAGTGTTGCCTTCTCCTATCTCCTCTTTGCTTCCTCTCTTGCAGCCTCCCTCCAGCAGCTAGCCCTGATGCCTTATTCTGCATCCTGGCAGTGCAGGACTCTGCTACCATGTTTCCCTAAGCTTGTTCTCTAGAGCACAGCCCAAGCTGTCAGATCCATAGTCTCTAAACTGGTTTAGACTGAGTACCCTAAAAGAAAGAATTTTGAGCACACCCTCAATATCTTCATAAATTACATGCATATACTCATTAAGAATACAATATAACATACTGAAACAGAAAGATTTCAATAGATGAGATAAAGATGAAGTAAATAATATTTTAAATAAATGTAAACTGTATTAATAATAGTACAAAATACATTTTCTCTAAAATGTTACTGTTTATAAAGCTTTTTAGAGAGAACAATAATTAAATGTGTCTCAGTATTATTTAAATCTTGGTTTAATATTTTGTGAAACAGCAACACAGATGTCTGCTTTTTTTTTTTTTTTAAAGATTTATTTATTTATTTGAGAGAGAGGAGAGCACACAAGCAAGCTGGAGAAGCGGCAGAGGGAGAGGGAGAGAGAGAATCCTGAAGCAGACTTTGTGCTAAGCAGGGAGCCCACCGTGGGGCTGATCCCAGGATCCTGAGGTCATGACCTGAGCCAAAACCAAGAATTGGACGCTTAACTGACTGAGCCACCCAGGCGCCCCCAGATGTCTACTTTTACATTCAGTTTATTTAGAGGTTCTCTGAAAAGAGCTCACAAAGATATACGGATTTAAATGGAAGAACTGTTTCTTAGATGGGTTACTAAATCACAATACTTATTTTTCAGTACCACTTGCTATGTAAAGGTTTTGGTTAATATCTAATGAATACATTTCCAATTTGCCTGTTATTCATTTGTTTCTACACTCTAATGAGAAGGTGTTGTAAATGTTTATATTTTTAACAAATGGCTTCAAATGGCATGGAAATTTTATTTGAAAAATGTTTAACTGGGTTTAAAAAATCCTATGAGATACGAGTTTTTATAGGTTACATGCAGTGTTTTTCATCACAAAAATTACATAAGGAAATATTTTCAAACATCAACATAGCATGCTAGGTGAGGGCATAGACTCAAGCCAGTCTACTAAGTTGGAATCCCAACTCCCCTACTCATTGTTTATGTAGCCGTGGGCAAGTTACTTAGTCTGTTGTGCCTCAGTTTTCTGTCCTGTGAATTAGAATGGTAATAGAACCTACTCATCAAGGCCATTATGAAAATTAAATAACTCAATAAAGTACTTAATATAATATCTGACATATAGCAAGTATACTTAAATATGTAAAGGATTAAGGCGAGAATTCTGATGCCCTGCTGTTAGAAGAGTGTAAACATTAAAATTACTTTTAATGTCAGTTGGGTATTACCTACCAAAGTTGGACATACACATACCCTGTGACCTAGCATACCGACAAATATATTTAACAAGAGTGGTCCTCGAGGCTTTGTTTGTAATAGGAAAAAATACAAATAACCCACATGTTCATCTACAATGGGATGGATAAGTAAATGGCTTTGTATATATCGACTGGATGCTATTCAGCAATACAAACGAACGAGAAGAATAAACCACAGCTACATTCACATGAATGAATTTGACAAATGATGAACATAAGAACAAAGATATAAAAATGTATATATAGTGTGATGGCACTTTAAAAAGTTCAAAAAGAAGCAAAACAAATAGAATGCACAGATAGTAAAATTATATAGAAAATAAATAATCATCACAAAAGTCAGGCTCATAATTCTCTCTTAAAAAAAGAAGAGGACTGTAACTGAGGAGGGGCACCAGGGGTGTGCACGTGTGTGCGCGTGTGTGTGTGCGTGTGAGCACGTGTGCCTGCACCCTGCATGAATGCTGATGGTACCTTGTTTTCTGATTTGGGAGCTGTTTAGGAATGTTTACTTTACAATTATTAACTTATGATAAGTTTTATGCACTTTTCTGTGTATATGTGTTATATTTCACAATGAAGAAATTTTTAAAAACTCTACACAAGTCTTGTTTGCACAAAATTAACTGCATTGTTAACATCTTATAGTACTATGTATTCTGGCCCCAACTTCTTTGCTGGAATAACTGTCTGTAAGATGTACCATGAATGAGTTTCACGTGGTTGTGCTCACTGTAACCTTAGCTTGGAATCCTCCCTTTTATTTTTTCTTTAATAAAAAGTTTTTGTTAAAACAACTAACCAGTCAGTGATTACACTTACACAAGTTTTGCATAAAGCATAGTTTTTATTTTTAAAAATTCAGGTATTACTTAAAATACCATTTAAAGAAGTAGCAGAGAAAGATTATCTTCTCTACTATAGCTTTCCTTTAGTGGCTTACAAAAAAATGTCATTTTAAAATGTATTTCATTATTGAAACACAGTCTAGTAAATACCACATTGAAACAGAATCTACCATAACAGAATCTATCTACCATAATATGAGACATATTAAAAACATCTGTGCTTTCAGTTTAACTTTATGGTAAACTTCCCACATTGTGTAACTTGTTCCAATACTCGTGTCTTGGGGTCTTTAGCGGTGTTTTATGTGCATATTCTCAAGGTATTCACTGTCAGAGGAATGCAGTTGTTTTTTTCCATTTGTGTTCCATGTATAATTTTAGACATTTTCATCTTGGCAAGAAGAAAACTGTTTTCCCAATCGTATGCTGCTTTTTGACTTTCAGTGTTAAGAAAGCTCAAAGAGGCTTTTTAGCATTTGTAATATATGAATTTTCTTTAAAGTATTGGCTTAAATAGTACATTACTAAATATGCTGGAGATATCGTGGAGTTTTGCCTTCATGCTGGGATACCTAGTTTAAAATGGTTAGCTAATTGTAATCAGTTCAGAATATCATCATCTATTAACTCTGATACACACTTGGGTAAAGTCAGTAAAAGTAGGTGTAAATTCATATTTAAAACAATGTTCTTTCTAGTTTCAATGATTATGGCCACCTTGTCAGATCTGATTAGTCATTAGTTTTTTACTTTGCAATGTAGATTCCAAAGGGCATCAGAAATGTCAGCTCAGCCAATTGTGTTTGCCTGTTCTTGCATTATGAACACTATCTCCATTGGTCCATGCTGTAACAATTAGTTTACTTAAATATCATACATAAATCCACTTAGTTAGATATAGAAATTGCACCATGTGGCAATATGTTGAAAGCGAACAAAGGAGAGAGCCCTCCCTTCCTCTATTATGTGCTGCTGTGCTCCCTCCCTCCCCAGAGCACCCCAGGTGCTTGCCCACTTATGGATCAAGTGGGGTGCTGGTGCCAGTCCTCACATTCAATATGCGTAAAGCTTAATTTCTTCCCCTCTTTTTTGGTAAAAAATGTATGTGTTTGTACAGAGAAATTCAAATACTTTATTCTAAAATTTCAGGGGTCACTTTCTGTATCCCATTTTGGAGACCTTTGCTCTAGATAAGTGTTTTAAAATTTTTTTTTTTAATGTTAGAAATCCCCTCTTTTTTACTGAAAATAAACTTGAAACTAATATATTTTTTAAAAATTAGATGACAATAACACTGGTCTGATTGAGATGGGAGAAGGTGGTGCTCAGATCTCTCTAGGCATCCATCTTTCTCCCCAACCGCCTCAGGTGCAAAACTAGTTTCCTTGAAACACAGTTGGAAAAATCTTATGCCAACCTTAATTCTCCAGATCTACCCTGAGTAACACTTGCTTCCTCTCTAGTCATTAAGAAATCAGCATATTTTTAAAAGGCTGGTATATTAATCATGATCTGGGGATCAGTAATAACTCATTGAGTTACCTCATACATATCTGATACGCATATGTGGCTACATTTTATCTGGGGACGAGAACATCTATTAGAATGAATATAAAATAGTGGCATTTCAGCTGTGAAAATAGGAAAACTATTGTTTGGGCTAGAGGAACTTGCTTTTGTTTTCCCCAGTGACCTTGAGATTGGAGGACATAATGATAATTGAATTTGTTATACCCTGGTAAAAGTAAATTTCTTATTAAATGCTACTGAGGGAAACCACAAATATATAAACCAAATAAACATTGTAAATAAAAGGAAAATAATTATAAAAAAAGTAGTCTTAAGATAATTCTGAAAAGAATCTTTAAGATATCAGGAAATGGACCATCTGTGATCTATGGTCCAAGATCACAGGTGGAATAGCCAAGATCAGTAACACTAGCTACTGTAATAATTGACCACAAAATGTCTAGCTTAACTCAATAAGGGTCCATTTCCTCACTCATGTCCCAGTACAATGCACGCTGTGAGGCAGCTCTGCTATAACCAGTCCTTCAGGGACCCAGGCCTCCTTGATGTGGCAGACCAACAATTTCAAAACATGGCTGCAACATTGACCTGGCTTCATACAATCACGAGAAAGAGGGATAAAAGAGAGTGGAGAAAGCATACTTTTCTTAACTGCTCAGCAGGGAATATATTCTACTGCTAAAAACTAATCATATGGGTCTATCCAAAAACTTTGGGAAATGTAGTTTAGCTATGGGTCCTGGAAGAGAAGGTGGGTTTGGTGAGCATCTCGCTGAGCTCCATCATATATACAGAGGAATTCCTAATCTATAATTGAGTATCATCAGGTCTGATTTTGGAAATCTCTTGGGAAGTCAGTCTCTTTTTTGCTTGTTGTAATAAGGAGGCATCTGCACTCTAGCACGAATTTCAGCTCTTGCCTTTCCCTGAACAAGCCATGATCTTCCATGTCTCTATACCTTTACATGTGATTTGCATATGATGTCTGTCCATTCTTTCTAAAACTCTTTCCCTTTCCTTCTCCCTCCTCTTCTTCCATATCTAACAATTCCTCCTCATCCTTTAAGACCCAAGACAATGTTCACTTCCTCTATGAACTTCTCTCTGATGACACACAGGCACAGATCTCTTCTTAATGTTCACTTTTATCCTTGTACTTTGTACCTACCTCTGTTACTGAATGTGTGAGCCTGTATTATAATTATTTAAGGAACCAGTATGTTTTCAAAGGATTGGGTGATTAATATTTACAATATAGTGACCATTAATTATAGACTAAGTTTCTCAAGGGTAACACTTGAGTCTTATATATCTTAGTGTCTCCCATGCCTGTCGAGCACAGGCCTGGCTCACTTACTCAATAACAGAGGAGAAAAAAATGAATGCTGTCTCTCTTCCTGCCAGTTCCCAATTCCCATCCCCCTTTTTCATATTGTGGCAAAAACATATAAAATGTATCATCTTCACCATTTTTAAGTGTACATTACAGTAGTGTTAACTATATGTATCTTGTTTCAATAGATTTCTAGAACAACTTTATCTTGCAAAACTGAAACTCTACCCATTGAACAACTCTCCATTTCTTCCTACCCCCAGTCCCTGGTAACCACCATTCTTTCTAAGAGTTTGATTAGCTTAAATACCTGATGTAAGTGGAATAATGCAGTATTTGTCTTTTCGTGACTGACTTATTTCACTTAGCATAATGCCCCAAGATTCATTCATGTTGTAACAGATGACAGGATTTCCTTCCTTTTCAAGTCCAAATGTTTCATTGTAGGTACATACCACATTTTCTTTATCCATTAATTATTAGTGTCTTTGTTTTTGACCTGTGGTTACTAGAGGGCACTGACAAGAAAATATATTTTCTATTGACCCAAGAGAAAAGGTGATCCTAAACTCTTAAATATTTCAGGATGGCTTATGTTCTAGAGACTAAAAGAGAAATTATACTTAGTGCAAGAGAAACTAGATTTTTTAAAAAAAAATCAGTGACCACAGAATGAATGCCTCTTGTCACACCCTATGAGCATGCGAAACTGTATTATACTGCTTCCAACTGAGCAGCAAGGGCCCATAATAAAAAGCTGTTCACATTCCAAAGGCCTCTTACCCTAGTCTTCTCACTGCCCTACTCAGTACCTCAGTACCTCTTCAGTACCTCATGCCCTCAAAACAGCTCTTTTGAGAAAAGAAATTTTAAAGTAGGGCAAAATAAATAAGGAAAGGGATAAATAAGAACGCTTTCAACACAGAGCACTTGTGAGAATTTTTATGTTTATGGAGAAGCTGAGTCCCACAGTAACCTCTGGCCCTTCTTGGTGTTAGTGGATTCCAGTGTTCATTTGCATTAAGGTAGTCTGAGGCCCGAGACCTTCATCACCTTTACCTCAGTGCGTTTTCATGAAAGAATCTGAAGTATCCTTGCATTAGCATGATCGTGATTATTTCAGTTGGTCTAAGGAGCTATTATTAAATATGTAGCCATTATGTGTACTGAAAATCTCCAAGTAAACTAGCATCTAGCTTGTAAACACGTTGAACACCTCACACGCAACTTCTTTTTACAACCATGACAATAAGAACCCCAGCACTTAAAAAAAACCCTGCAGTTTTTGGTAAAATATGCCAAATATAGCTTGAAATAGTAAATAATCCCTCAAAAGCGATATTAGCAAATTAATTGGTGTGTGAACAAAGAACCCTTTCTGCACCAGCATGAATGTTGCCTTTATTTTTTTTCTCACAAGCATGATTTTAGAAAACAGCTGTAGTGCATGTTGACAAATGACAAAGCGGCAGACGTGGTAAAACACTTTCCGTCAAGGCCAAGGGGGGAAAAAAATTGGGCTGCCGGAGCGGCCCACGGGCCTGAATGCCTAGCTTCCCTAACGTCCTTTTTCCCCAGTCTTTAGGGAGCGGGGGCCTCACCGCCCCACCCCCCTTTCCCTGGCTCTGGTTACAGCCTTTCGAGTTGAACAAACTTGCTGTAGGCGGATTGGCGATCAGGAGCTCTCAGGCTTGGGCGCTGCATTTATTAATTTATATTCCGCGAGGCCCTGCGCGGCTGCTCCTTTGTATTTGGCCGCCGCCGCCAGGCCCGGGGGCCCCAGCGGGGAGCGCGCCCCCGGCGTCCGCTCGACCCCCAAGGCCAGCACGTGCTGCGCCCGCCCGCCAGGCCCGCCAAGGGGGCGGAGGCCCCGGCTTTTCTCCTAAGCCACTCTCGGCCAGAAGGAGGAGCAGCAGCAGCAGGAGGCGACAGCTGCCCTGCCCAGGGAGCGCGGCAGAGAGGGGGCTGCAGCGCCCGGGCGCCTGGCCACTCTTGGCGGCGGCGGCGGCGGCCGGGGAGGCGGGGAGCGGCGGGCCGCTCGGGATGTTCCCGGGCACTTCCTGACTGGTTGGCAGCGCGCACACGGCCCGACTCGCACGTCCCCGGCCCCCTTGTCGCTCGCTCGCTCGCTCGCTCGCGCGGGCCCGCTCTGCGTCGGCCGCGCCGCGGTGGAGGCGCGCGAGGGGGACGCGGCCGGGGATGAGCTGATTGCGGGTAAATACGCCGCCGCCTGGCCCCGAGAGGCCGCGAGGAGCCGCTTTTCTCCGAGTCGCCGCCCTGCCCTTGGATTTGAGATCATGTACGTACACGTCGCGGTCCTGCCATTGTCTCTACCCCGGCGCGTGTCGTGCGCCCCAGCGCGAGGGGCTCTTGCTCATCCTCGCCGCGCGCTGCCCCCCGCCCTTTCTGTTCGGATTAAAGTGATCCGCGCGCTGACCACGCGCCTCTTCTCCCCCTGGCCCCCTCTCTGTCGTGTAGGTCCATTCACATCGTGGCGCTGGGGAACGAGGGGGACGCGTTTCACCAGGACAATCGGCCGTCGGGGCTCATCCGCACTTACCTGGGGAGAAGCCCGCTGGTCTCGGGGGACGAAAGCAGCTTGTTGCTGAATGCGACCAGCACGGTCGCGCGGCCGGTGTTCACCGAGTATCAGGCCAGCGCGTTTGGCAATGTCAAGCTGGTGGTCCACGACTGTCCCGTCTGGGTAAGGGGTGGCAGCTGCTCTGTGCCGAGGCTAACGGAGCTTTCCTTTCATTGTTTTTTTCCTTCCTCTCCCTTTTCCCCCTTTCATGAATGTGGACCGTCCGGGTCACTTGGGTGGAGTTTTTAAACATTTGGGGGAAATCTTTGTTTTTCTTTGTTTCATTAGGCAGTGGGCAGCCCGGTCAGAGAACCCTCTTAGAAGGCAAAAAGCCCCAGTGGCAACATGGAGCACTTACTCGCACGCTTCACGACTGTAGGTTGTCCCTTGGTAGCTGGCAGTTGAATGTGACAACCCCAAGGGACGGGGTCACTAAGTTTCACCAGCAGAGAGCAATGTTTTTTCATGCCTACCCTGTGGGTGATAGTGTAATATTAGTGTTCTAAAAATAAAGTCCTCTGAAAGCTCAACACAAGCAAAAATAAATTTCACTGGAACAGTTCAGGAATAGGACCCCTGGAGAGGAGACGAAGAGACAGGGACTGAGAATTAATTTAATTTAATTTTATTTTATTTTTTTTGAGAATTAATTTTAAACCACTCATTTATAACACTATCCACCTTTGAAAATTTTAATTAGTGTTTTTAATTTTAATAATGCAGATACTCTTGATATATTAGCTGTTTATTTTCAGTGACACATAAATCAGAAATAATACTGCTTGGACTTTTCAAAAAGCTGTAAAATTTGCAATAATTAAAAGAAATTGTAATGAAGTCGATAAAATTCTAGTCTGATTCTTGAGTGCTTGATAAAAGGAGAAAGGAATCTACTCTCTGACACATAAATATTTTCAGTATGCAATAATATAGTAATGTAATATGCAATAACAGTAATTATTTAAATATTTTCATCTAATCTTATTTGGAAATCTCTAATTCTTTACTGGTATTGGAGTTATAATATGATAACTAAAGCTAAAGATTATATTTTGTAACAGAAGAAAGCTTGGTGTCTGAAAAAGAATACAAATTATCATTATGTGAGATTTTACGTTTAAAGATCAATTTTAAAAAAACTGTATTATGTGCTATAGGGAATTAATACACCTCTCTAAAGGAATGTATGGAATGTACCTAGAAAAATTACTTATGCAGATTACGGGATGAAGAGATCACTAGCTCAAATAAATTTTCAGTTAAAGGATATTTATGTTAATGGGCTAAAATAAATGAAAAACAGGTTTTTTCAATAACCAGGATGATATTAAACTCCCATTTATCACAGTGATGATGCCAGTCATAAGAAGGAACTCACTGGCTGAAGTCCGTGCAAGCAAATGAAACACTTACTTTGGCCATTTCATTGTGAAAGATCGTACAGTTTAAAAACTTAATGGTTTTACACCCAGTTGAACAAATGTTGATTGAATAGAGTAAATAAACGTAGGGAAAATAAAATAAGCTGAATTAGGATGTTAGGATTACTTTTCCTGTTTTTTCTTCGAGCTGTTAACTCTTTCCTGTTTATGTTGTTAGCTTGGCAAGTCGGGCCGTGTGCAGGACTCCCAGGTATTGTAGTAAATGAAATCTCCCCAAAGGGTTAAAATAAGCCTCTGTAGTCTAGATTTTTGCTGTATACTGATTGTTGTGCTTTATTGTGCTAACCACCTTTTGTTTGTTTAGACTCTGGTCCTGTTAAAGGCATTGAGTATGGGTACACTTTTTTGGGTTATAATGATCTTCAAGCATAAGGGAATATATTTGTAGAGCGTCTCTTTATAAGGTGCTTTTCTTTTCTTGGTGGTAAGTAAAAGTCCATCAGAGATATTCAAGTTGATTGTATTTATCAGCTGATACTTGACATGTACTGGAACAGAATATTCAGTATAGCAAAGCAGATAGAGCACAGCTTTTGATAGCAAAAGGACCTGATTTCAGATCCCCACATTGCTGTTTAGTGGTTTTCCTTGGCGAGTCAACTATCTTTTCTTAGCCCTATTTTTCCCTATGTATAAAATAAGAAGACTGCCTGCCTCCTAAAGACTCCCTCCTGGGGCTGTGCGGAAGAGTAAATGAGATAATACATGTAAAGTTCTTAGGATCGACGCTGACATGTAGTAGGTACTCGAGGTGGTAGCTGCTATAGTAATACAGGGTCTATTGCAATGTTAGTATAGCCATGTATCACTTATGCTAAGCAAAAGTAAAGTTTTCCTACACATCATTCAAGACTTACACAAATACAGTACATTGAGGCAGCAGTGCTGGTACTTAGTAGGTGCTGTATTTGCAGCCCCGCCGTCAAGTAGAATAAAGTTGTTGTTTTGCTGTAAAGTTCCGGATTATTTTGAAAAAGATGAGTTCCATTCTCCCAGTGTGGCTCCAACTCTTGTGTTGCATAACCTCCTAGAGGAAATCCTGGAACTGATTTACAAGGGGAGGGAGAATTTGATTTCCTTCGTATTTCTAGAAACCAGGGGAGCATTTTCTCTTTGACATAGCTTGATTAGAAATGTGGTGTTGTTTCCTTGGAATCGGAATGAGATGGTTTGTGCTTCTCTTTTCTAGTTTCTTCTGTAGATCCGTAGCCTCACTCTGGATCCTTGCTGTATATACGTGGCCCTTTCAATATAAATGTGCTTCAAATTCATTTTATGTAGTTCATTATTTGGCATGTCTCTCTCAGACCCACCCTCCCTTTTTTGTGCAGTTATGTTATTTTACTTCTAGATCTTTTCCTGTTTACCAGAAATATTCCACAAAAAGCAGTGAGGTAATACATGTACAATTTTCTTGTGCAGGGTTTGAAATTCTGATTTGTGTTAAAAATAAAATTATTTGTAGTTTTTATATCCTTGATACAACAGTGATACGGATGCCAAAACCATTTTCTCATGACATTTTCCTCTGAAAGTCTCCTTTTCTCCCAGTACACCTCTCCAGTAACTCCGGAATTTTAAACTGTTTGGAATGCAAAGAGCAGTTACTTTTGATTTGTTCTCTCAGTTAAATGGCTGTTTAATGTTGGTCCCACCTATGTTTAGTTTTTGTTGTTGTTTTTTATTCCATTCATCTGACTTTGTTCTTTGTTATACTTGTGTACCCTTGTTATGCTTGCATACTTCCAGCTTGGATACTATAACAGATACAATTGGAACTGAATGGGTTTGTGGTTTGGGATTTGGAAATTAGCGTAAAGCTCGGCTGGGAAGCTTTCACATTTTCTTGATCTGTGTCCCACTTCACTTCTCCCCCCTCTTGGTTCAAGTTCAAGACTTTGCCTTTGATGTTTATATTGCCATAGTTTGCCTATTTTTCTTTTTTGGTCCTTTTAATCTTCCTTTTTAAATGCTCCTGTTTTCAGTAGGGTATTTATATCTAAAAATTCTGCAGTTCTTGTTACTCTGGGTGTACTTGTAGGAAGTGGGTGAGTTGGGCTGGATATAGGGAATTGGGAGAGGCTTTGCTGGACACCGTGGAGGTACTGGTGAGAAGCAGCTCTCTTTGCAAAAGGGCATTGCTGTGTAACACTTCTCTAGAATTTTCCATCATACGGTAGAAGCTCTGTCACATGGATCTTGATTGACTGATTCCAGCATTATTACCCTGTTTTGGACTCATATTTCAAAGTGCAAACTTTCATAGCCCAACAGTTTTTGGACCTGTTAACCACATCTAACTGTTTTCTTAATCTAGCTTTAATATATTCTGGAGATATATGCCAAAGGCCGCATGAAAGAACAAATAATGATTAATAGTTAACTAGAATATGAGAAGAAACCTACTAATGCATATTTAGCAGTGGTATTAAGATATATATTTTTCTTATGCTACTATTCACATAAAAACTTTGAAAAAATACTTTTAAAATACCAAAGCTTTTAAGGAGTAGGCTTCATAATAAATTACTTTTGGCCCTGATTCTAATTATAAATATTATTAACTATAGTCCAGAAGTGAAAATTTCAAAATTGAAAAGTTTCTCCTGAATTTTTAACTTATATAAGCTAAATACATGAATTGAAAATCTGTTCCTTACCACATTGACACCTTATAATACACAGTATCTTTTTATGAAACATACGTCCCTACACATACATGTACATTATACACATACAGTACTGTCCAAAGGATGGATAAAGTTGGAAAGTATATATAGATTTTTAAAATATGTATACAATATATGGAACTCCACAGAGTTCACAGTGTATTGCAGTTTAAAACAGTGAGCAGGGCGCCTGGGTGGCTCAGTTGGTTAAAACAGTGAGCAATCCTGCAGTGTCTAATTGGGTCACAGAAAATCCTTTGAAGCTTCCTTACTCATACTGATGCTCTGGCATCTAATGCGTAGTGCTAACATTTGCAAAGTTTTTAGGTGATAAAAGTATGGCATAATTTTAAAACAAAGTGCTTATTTTTAAGTGCAAATACTGAAAGGGCTTGCTTATTTCATCAGACTCTCAGTAATTCTCTAGATCTGCTTTACAGTACAACAACTACACTGCTGTCTAGGCTAAATGAATACATAAAAATAGAAGAGTTGGTAGGCTTCAAACATTTTTAATTTTAGGTAGTTACTTATTTGAAAATAAATTCTTTTTATGAATTCCAAAAATTAAACTATAGCAAAAAACGGTATGTGTCCCATTTTATTTCATGACTGATTTGAAGACAAGTAGACTAAGGAGTGCTCTTTGCATTTTGGTTTAGGACATTTTTGACAGTGATTGGTATACCTCTAGAAACCTAATCGGGAGCGCCGACATCATTGTCATCAAATACAACGTAAATGACAAGTTCTCATTCCACGAAGTAAAGGATAATTATATTCCGGTGATAAAAAGGGCATTAAATTCAGTTCCAGTAATCATTGCTGCTGTTGGTACCAGACAAAATGGTAAGTATTTAATTTTTCTTCTTATGATAAGAGTGCAGGTACCATGTTAATTTTAAATAGTGTTCAGTTTATTAATAATTCATATGGTTCTGGGTGCTTTTTTTTGGAAAAAAAATGACTGTTCAAATGCCAGCTCTTATCTCTTCATCACTGGATATGATAGTTAGACATCAAAAGAAAGTGTCACAGACGACTGCTGGGATTCTGATGCATACAAATCTATCTCCTAAATTGCTCTTCCACAGAAGTGAAGGAAGTCGGTGATTGTATTCTTTTGATACAGGAGAAGTATGAGGCTGGCGCTGAGCTCTGGGAGATCCTTTTTGACATTCTAAAGGTCCGTCCAGTGGGAAGGATAGATTGTCTGCAGAAGGATTGGTCTTAGGAGCAGGATTTTTAGGTAGCTGGGAACGAGTGAGCTGGAGACGCTGATGGTACCGCCTGAGAGAGAGGATCATTTACTCCACGGATGATGGATTCCGTTGGTTCAGTTCATTCCAGCAGTTGCTGCTGGGCATGTCATTGTCAGATATCCTAGGGCCAACTCAGAATTCGCTTTGGTTTTGTGGTATTCTGATAGTTCTTTTTAGTGGTATTTCCTCAGTGAAGCTGTCTTTAAAATTTTATTAGTTTATTTTTTCCTTTTTTAAAAAAATTTTATTTTATTATGTTATGTTAGTCACCATACATTACATCATTAGTTTTTGAGGTAGTGTTCCACGATTCATTGTTTGCGTAAAACACGCAGTGCTCCATTCAATACGTGCCCTCTTTAATACCCATCACCAGGCCAACCCATCCCCCACCCCCCTCCCCTCTAGAACCCTCAGTTTGTTTCTCAGAGTCCATAGTCTCTCATGGTTTGTCTCCCCCTCAGATTTCCCCCCCTTCATTTTTCCCTTCCTACTATCTTTTTTTTTTTTTTCCTTTTCATTAAGGTAGAGCGAAGTAAGGGACATAAAGTTCACTCGGTACCATGGTACAGCTTAATGAGTTTTTACATATATATACATCCATGCAGCATCTCACAGGTCAAGATAGAGAACATTTGCTTCACTTTGGAAGGCTCATGCTTCTTCCCAGTTACTAGCCCCCTCCCCAGGGATGACCACTCTTCTGACTTCTAACAGTATAGATTAGTTTTACCTATTCTAGAACTTCATATTCATGGAATTATATTGTATGTAGTATCCTGTGTCTAATTTCAATTAGCAAAATACTGATATTCATCCATGTTGCTCTTATCTATAATTTGTTATTTTGCTGTGTATTTTTCAGGTGTGTGAATGTGCTGTAACGTATTTATTCATTCTCCTTTTCATGATGTTTAAGTTGCTTCCTAGAAGTAGGATTTTGGGTCATAATCAAAGGATAGGTATATGGTTTAGCATTAGAAGACACAAATAAAGCAGGCCTGACCCTTCCTTGACCCCACATCCCCTCTACTTCCCTATGTTTCTTTTTATTGCTGGCCTCGATTCTTGAAAGAGTCACCCACACTTCCTGAGTCCACTTCCTGACTTCCCATTTATTCTTTAGTCCACTACAGTCTGACTTTGACTTTCACAATTACATTGGGTTTGTTCTCACTCAGGGTTACCAGTTAAATGCTTATTGCCAAATTTGATTTCCATTTCCATTTCCATTTAATTTACACTTTAATTTATATTTTAATAACAATTCACCCTTTGAGATTATTCAAACACATCTCTCCCTCCATTTAAAAAAGCTACTCTTTCTTTCTTGGTTGTTTCAATTCTCTGTCTTCTTACTGGCCAAGACCCCCCCACACCTACGCATATTGAACCAACACATCCTTAGTTGTTGCCAGGGTTCCATCCTTTGGCTTCACCTCTTCTTGCTATTTGCTCTAACCTTGAAGCTGTTAATCTGTTGCCCTCCCTTCCCATGTATAGACACTGATGAATACCCAGTCTCTTTCTCCCGCTCTAGTTTCTCTTCCAATCTCTATCACCACAGAATCTTCCTCTTTCTGCTGAATTCCCGGTCTTGGTGAATGATGCCAAAACTATCCATTCACCCAAACTAGAACCATCCAACCCAACTTAACTCCCATCCCCCAAATCCAGTGGACTAGGAAGCTCGTTTGTTTTCACATTTCAAATAAACCTCAAATTCATTGCTTTCTCTTTGTCTTCATTGGATTTCAGATCCTAGTCATTTACTTATCTGTCTTCTTTTTTCCTAGGCAAAGAACTTTATTAACCTTGTTTCAAACTTTATTCCCAGGCTTCTTCAGCTTAACTAGCTGCAAAGAATGAATTGTGTATAAGCAAAAACTCAAAAGAGCTGCAGTGTCCAAGGGGCTTGGGCTTAAAAACATTAGAGATCTAGATTTTATCAGATCCACGAACAAAATTTTAAAAAGCAGTCATAATATAAAATAGCAGCTCCCAGTAACTTCTTCAAGTTTTATGTTCTTCAGAAGTTGACTCAATTCAGTTTGCTTCATTCTTGGAAGCTTCATCAAAATTCTCCACAAGATCTGGAACTTCATCATCATCATCCTCTCTGGTAGCAAGTGGTGCTTTTCCATCCACAGATTGGGCAGAGCTTCAGCCAGTCTTCTTAAACTAGTCAGACTGTCTGCACCAAGTTGGTTTAAGATACTGGGTAGCATTTCTGTCAGCTGCTTTGTCTCAGCATGGCCTGTAATGGTGAAAGTGTTCGCTGCCAGTGATGCCTGAACTTTGGGGTTGTTAAAGTGGATCACTGTTCCTTGGTTTGTGAACATATTCACTTCTTCAATACCAGAGATACTATTTACCCCTAACTTCTTTAAGGAGAACTGAAGTTTTTTATCATCTGCTGTAGCCGTTCTATGAACCACCTTCTTCTTTCGGCGAGCAGTTCCTTTCCCACCAATGTGCACTTGTGCTTGCAGTTTGGCGAGTTTCTCCTGGTTCATGATAGTTTCTTTCATCTTGTTGGAGCAGAAATGGGACCGCGCGGGGGAATAGGGTTGGCGCTCAGGGGGTCTCGGGCGGACCAGCTGAGATTCTACTTATCTGTCTTCTTTTTGGCCTAAAGGGGCAGTTCCTGACCTTGTAGGACCTGAAACTTATACAGTTCTAGAGGTCCTTTGTAAGGAAAAAAATGACAATATTATAGATAACACACACACACCACATGAATATTTAGAATGAGAAAAGGAAGCATGACAAGTTGCAAATCTAACAAGCCGTCAAATAAAACCACGAAATGCCACCTCACACAGGTCAGAATGGCTATAATTAACAAGACAGGAAACAACAAATGTTGGCGAGGATGCTGAGAAAGGGAAACCCTCTTAGACTGTTGGTGGGAATGCAAGCTGGGGCAGCTACTTTGGAAAACGGTATAGAGGTTCCTCAAAAAGTTAAAAATAGAGCTACCCTATGACCCAGCAATTGCACTATTAGGTATTTACCCTAAAGATACAAATGTAATGATCCAAAGGGGCACCTGCACCCCAATGTTAATAGCAGCAATGTCCACAATAGCCAGACTATGGAAAGAGCTGAGATGTCCATCCACAGATGAATGGATAAAGAAGATGTGGTATATGTATACAATGGAATATTACTTGGCCATCAGAAAGAATGAATACTTACCATTTACATTGACGTGGCTGAAACTGGAGGGGATTACATTGAGTGAAAAAGTTAATCAGAGAAAGACAATTATCATATGGTTTCACTTATATGTGGAATATAAGAAAGAGTGCAGAGCATCATAGGGGAAGGGAGGGAAAACTGAATGGGAAGTCATCAGAGAGTGAGAAAAACCATGAGAGACTCAACTCTAGGAAACACACTGAGGGTTCCTGGAGGGGAGGTGGGTGGGGCGATGGGGTAATTGGGTGATGGGCATTAGGAGGGCATGTGATGTGGTGAGTACTGGGTGTTATATGCAACTGATGAATCATTGAACACTACATCTGAAACTAATGAAGTACTCTATGTTGGCTAATAGAATTTAAATAAAAAATTAAAAAAATAGAAATCTGTCAAATACCACAAACATTTAAAAATATTTCCGTTATTTAACAGCTTGACATTTCTTTAAGTTTTCTTATATTTGTTGGCTGCATAGTCTTTGATTACTTCTTCATATGATAACCACTTTTGATATTTTCTATATAGAGAAGACAATTATAGTTAGTTTTTTTCCCAGCGTGTTTGTTCGCTCTTCACATGATTTGGAGCTGGGCACTATGGTTTGTGTTGTGCTCCTCTTTCAGCTGGGCATCTTTGTTTCAGGACACCAAACAAGTCTGCTCAGCGGGTGGCAGAAGCATCCCTCAGGGCTATTTGTGTACCAGGACAGTTCTCAGACATTTAACTGTACAAGGAAGTGACTGCAAACCACAAATAGTATCTCACTAAACCTAAATTTAAATTCCCATTAGCAGGATCCCGAAGATGCCTGTCATTATTCCCAAGCTGCCTGATATACAAGTGAGTTGGAGTGGAAGGAGACAGTGGTCTTAACCAAATGTAGTTAGAATATCTTATTTTGCAAATTTTACAAAAGCATATGACTATGTGAAAGAATCTATTACCCAGGTTTCTCTCAAGGCTTTGGAAAGGACCCATAAGACAAGAGCCCTCACACTTAGGCTTTATCAGCTTAATGGTGAATTGACCTGTGGTCTCCTATTCCTGCTTTGCTCCTTTCTGAAATAAATCCTCTCAGAATAATCATCCTAGAATACAAGTCAGATCATGATAGTCAATACTTTAAATTCTTTAGAAACTTTCTTCTTTTTCCCTTTTATTTGCAAAATTTCAAACCCAAGAAATTTGAGCAGAATAGAACAGTGAACCCCAGAGATTACAAACACATACACACAGACTCTCTCTCTCTCTCTTTTTTCATTTGGGAGGGAATTATAAAATTATGGGATTTCTTTTTTTTTCCTTCAATCCTAATTACTTAAGCATGTATTGTCTAAGGGAGAGCCGTTTTCCTATCAGCCATAACCCAATCATCATTCA